CTCACACTGTTCTTCAACCTACTCCTAACTCTAATCATAATCGTAACTCCCAGCCATAACTTTAACCGTACAGCCTAAACCTTAAACTTAAAGCCACAACCCTACCAAACAGTATATATTTGTAGTAAAAACCACCTATCAGATAAGTAAAATACCGTATATACTCTCTTTAAGACAAAAAGCGCAAACACGACTGGGTCTGGAATGACATTTCATAACATTCAAATCGTCTCCTGAACGTCAGTTTTGAAAAGACCTTAAATTTCGCTGTGATGCTTTAACTTCGCCGTAGGATTAATATGAATAAGGTTTACAAGACACTAATAATATAAAAGCCATTTAATCTCAATGAAAATGCTGGTCTTAAATATCACGTTCTGTCAAATCTCCGCTTGGAAATTTTTTACGCCAATAGTTTTAATAAAATTGTGTTATATGTTATCTGGATTGATGGGAATTCCCATTTCGTGGCTAGTTTTGTTGGTGTCCGCGTCACGCAATCTGACTGCGACACACTCATAGCATATTGGTTGCAACGATTAGTGTTTCAGGCGGACTGTATTAAAATATCGGTGTAATGAGGAATGTAGGATAGTTGGAGGGTAATGCCATTTACACAAATCGTTTACTTCATGTAGAAGCCACACCTTTCGGCATGGTATAATTCAATGGAGACTTCATGTCTCAAGATATCAGTACAGCCTATTTTCATGTGAAGGACTGAACTTTTTGACAAAAGAATTCTATCAGTACTTGAAAATTACCCACAAATGCTAACAGAACATTCTTTGGGAAGAAAAGTTACCATGTTGATGTGCTTGTCACATTGTCTGTGGTTGGACAGTATTTACCGTAAATTGAAAGGTTATTTGTAAGTGTATTTAATAAATATGTACACTGATTGGTGCGGTGCAACATGAGTTATGTGGATTCAATGCATAAAAACAACTCTACCTTATTAAACATTGTGCCATTGTCTGCTTAGCTGGCTGATAGGCTAACAAACGTAGGTGGTTTTCATGATTGTTGCAAGTTCAGTGAAGTGGAAAAAGCAATCACTCGTTTAAATTTCCTCACTTAGCGCCTCACTCCATCAATGACCTTGTAAGTGACAGATAATTTCAGCCAACGGAAATTGTCAGGTTGAATATATTGGATAATAGACACCGCTCTATACGACGGATAGCGTTACCGCTGGCATCATCTATTTCTTCACGTGGTGAGGGTGTGACACATTTGAATTTCGTTAGTCTCTGCCATATATGTCTCTCTGAGAATTATGTTTTTAGGAGGTATTTGAAACTGGTGACTCTAAAGAATAGCGGCCCAATCCGAAACGAGCTTCGAAAAAAGTGACCTTGAACAAGGAATCAGCTGACTGTATCATTTTCGGAAGTAATCATGGATGTTTTCGATTACTGTTTGGATAACGGACTGATAGCTTTGTCGAAAATTTGCCAACGCGGAGGAGTTATGCATATACAAGAATACACAGAGGCCATTGATGGTTTTGTATACAGATGTATTGAGTACCGCAAGAGGAAATAGGTTCGAGAAGGTTTGTCGTCTTTTTTTAGTTTACAGATCCCTTAGGAACTTTTCTCTCAAGGTCTAAACTACCTTTGACGAAAATTTTAATGATCTGTAACTTCTGGGTCCTGAAAAGAGCAGTCACAGCTACAGCTTATGAAACTGCGATTCCCAATCGCAGTGCAGCAGAATTAGTACCTATTAATAAGCGTTTGGTGTTGCCGGGGACGACTGTTCATACAGATGAATGGAGCGGATACCGTCAATTATCGAATCATGGGTACATTCATCATGTTGTTAATCATACGGACGGTTTCCGGAATCCTCTGGATGGAACCCACACCAGTTCCAGTGAAAGTTTTTGGATTCGTCTAAAAAGACGTATAAGAGCGGTTAATGGATCGAGAAATCCCATGATTTACAGTTACCTGGATGAATTTATGTACCAAAACTGGTTTCATATGACTATGAAGACTCCCATGAGAAACTGGGAGGTTTCTTTGCAACATATACGCGAACGCCGTTCTTTGCAACTGTTTATTATGATTGCATTACTTTTATATAAACCGTTTTTTACAATTATGCGCCTCTCTTTTTGAGCCTTCTCATTGGCCGAAGTTGTCCCTGTCAAGGTCATTTTGGCGTTAAAAGGTCGTTTCGGTTTGGGCCGCTTTTCTTTAGAGTCACCTTGAAACTTAGCTACTTAATAAGTACCTGTTAAATAAAATACTCAGTATGATAAAAATGTGCGAAGAATAGCTAAATGATGGTTAGAATGGGCTAGTGGTAAGGAAGATAGGCCTACGGTAACGATAAGGGTTGTAGCAGGCATTGGGATTAAGGTTGGGGTTAGTTTTAAGTCAAGGGTTAGGGTCGGAATTCAGGTTTAGGTTTACGATTAGTGATAGATTTAGAGTTGATGTCATTTATTTTAATGTGACACACTAAAATAAATGACATCAACGTTTCATTATTCACATTTCCCTGGTAAGTGGTTGTCAATCCTCTTACTGCAGATCACAGTAATTCAACCGAAAGCTCTTGAAGAAGACTGCACAACAGGATAAGAGAGATAAATGATTCACAGAAACGGCTCATCTTCAGTCACCCTGGTGTATACATGTAGAGAAACTAGTCCAACTAAGGAATTGATGCTCATCATTGTAACTGAGGCGTATTTTTTTGTCATGTCAGGAAAAGGTATCTTTACCTTTATCAGAGTATATACTCTGATTAGTGTGTTTTCACTCGTTTTCTTGTAAATAAACGACATTTTTCATGTAAAAATCCTCATTTTTATGGTTTATCAGCTCAAGGATTCTCGTGCGTTTGCATCCCTTTAAACCCTATTGTTGAACTTTGCCGAAAGATGATATAATGAGCAAATCCTGGTTGAATGATGGTCAAAATAAAGGAGTGTCTCTGAAAAAATGGTTGAAATGGAAATTAGTGGTCAAATAATGGAAAATATTAGTTACATCGTGACAAACTATGAAGGTATTGGCATTAAATAGTGAAACGTCAGCAAAAACCATATCGTTTTGTTTTTCATTCACTCATTGGGAAATACAAAATGTTTATTATAATGTATATCATGTTCCCGATGTTGAAATTTTTTCAAACTGTTAAAACTTAACTTGGTTTTGTACATATGTGACAAAGTATTGTCTAAATTTTAAGGTAAATTCTCAACTGACTTAATGTCCCGTACAAAACATCACCATGTGCTGCCCCTACACTCTACCCTAATAATCGTTGAACATCGAGGGGAGGCAGGAGTGTAAACCTAAGGCAGTTTGAAAACCTTAATTGTAAACCAGTGGTGACCCAAACACTGTTGTGCTCTTGAAAAGAACGAATGGTGCGCATGAATTCGTCTTAAATGCAAGTCATAATGGAAAAATGCAACTCCAGATGTTGTTCTGGTGCTTTGTGAACCAGACTTCAAGTCGTATACTCAGGCCCACCATCCCTTATGAAGACCACTTATTTCTGTCTCAACAGCTGGATAGTATTCGAGTTCTCTCCAAGGCTTTTGTCTATCCGCTGGAAAACCCCTAACCCCCTCTTCCAAAAGAAAATAAATATATGAAAGAAACTATCTAATAAAGACCTTGACGAATCTTTATCGACTAATCAGATACGTTGGAAGCAGAAGTGCGTAACTTGAAAAAGGCGTTTATTTATAAGTAATGCTACGTCGAAGAGTAGTTGCGTTTAATGATTTCCTTGTTTTTGTTCCAAGGAGGCTTCTCAAATGCATATAGGCGTCCTCATAGTTAAGTTAAACCAGTATCTGTACGCAAATTTATCGGGATATCTAAATTATCACGTTCCTTGACTCATTCAACTCTCTGATACTCTTTTTAGGTGATTCCAGGTGGAATGTTTGTGAGTCCCATCGAAAGGATTAACGAAATTGTCTGTACTACTGACGCCGTTATGAATAAAGCTCAGGGATTCCAGTTCGCTTCACGCTTTATCCCTTCCAATCAGCTTGCAGTATAAACAGTAATCAAATACTGGCTTTGGATGAAATTTGCTACGTATTTCTTGTACAGCATCCATAATTCCTCCCATATACTACAGAATCATCTGACTGATCACTCTAGGCCATTAACCTCTTTATTAGATGGTCTCGTTTTGGGCTGGTATGGTGTAGAGTCACCTAATTTTCGGTTATGGATATTTTCACAGAACTACTCATATTTTCAAAATTTTATTTTTATCCCTTTGCCTTCTGAGCGGGATATAGAGCCAGAAGCTTGAACTATGAAGTTGCAGTAGCAGAGGTTTTGTGTTCACGGTGTGTGTGTGTATGTGGGGGGTTGCTAGCCTCACGCCGGACTTTCTCTCCACCGACCTAACACTACTGGCTCATCGAGGCTTAAGAGTGTGTAGGCCGGGGATCAAACCCCAGACCGATTACGTGTGTGCATGTCGATATTTTAAGGTGGTATTCATTTCAGAGAATTATTGAATCAGCGGGGTCCACCAAGTCAGGCGAGAGGAAAGCTACTAGCCTATATACATGTATATACACGTCACCTGTTGGCAGAAGTTTGAATTGACGAAGACTTGAGTTGGGTCCCAGCTCGCCTTTCTCACCAATCGGAATGTCCTACGTTCAAACATCGGTTGGTGTGTTTTGCTAAAGAGTCTCAGACTAAAGTGAAGTAGCTGTCCAGTACTCCCTTCTTATTCAATGGTTTCCTAACTGATATCAACTCATGGTCAAAGGTTTAACTAGTCAAATCTGAACCCCGGCGGTCGCGTGCTGCCGAAGAGTCCCAAACGAGGATGAAGCAGCTGTCAAGTACTCCCAGATGGTTTTACAATGGTTCTTTAACTAATGTCAGCTCATGATGAAATCCTGTAACCAATCAACCAAATCCCGACAAACCAATACTTGAATAACACTTGAATCACTAAACAGTTTCTAGCTGATTGTATATAAATAATAATCATACATGTCTGCTTGCCTTCTTAATGACAGACTGTCTTTCTGTCCGTTGCATAACCAGTCTCATCTTATTTGCCAAACTCCAAACAATTTTTCTCTCGCTATTTCATCATTTCAGGCATTATCACTTTGCGAAAAAGCTGTGTCTGATTCACATGCACAAGTTGAAGCGATTGCATTAATCACTAGTACGTTATGTCAAATCACCTGTTCAACCGGAGATAATCAGACTGCATTGCGTACACAATTTACACGAGCTGCTGCACGTCTTCTACGTAAACATGATCAATGTCGAGCTGTCTGTGCAAGTACTGATTTATTTTGGCCCATAAAACTATTGACTCGACAAGGAATTAAACCAAGTGTACTTATTCCTGCGACAGACAATAATCCTGAGATTTCTACATATGCAAAATTATCTGAGGGGAATGTTATGTACCCGTCGAGTAGTTAATAGTCCTGACGCAAGAAGGCAGAAATCAGAAGACCACCAGGTTCGCGAGGATACTTGTATTTTCCCAAACAAGGAAAATCAATGTCACACAAATGTGTGAGTGAAATAGTATGAATGTCCGAACAAGTGTGTCAGTCTCGACTCATAAACCGTTAATGCCCAGCTCTCGCTACGCTCGGGCCCACGCTGTTCCTTTGAGTTTCAGAAACGCTTAGTAATAACGGACGCAAAAACCAAAACACCGATCTGCTGCTTGTTATTTCTTTATTGTTACACCAACATATAAAGGGAATAAACGAACTAAGCAACTAAGGTCTGTAAACAAATATTACAATAATAAATCGTTATGTTACTTCTGACGATGTTTCACTCTTCTTTCTGAACAGCGACCGATGAGACGATGACTGTCGTATTGATGCCTCCGCGAAAATCGAGGAAGTTGATTTTGAGCAAACAACCAAGATTTGATCGTTCAATCTTCAACTACATTGACACTCCACGGCAAATAAGGGATCCAACCCTTTTTTCCATCACGGCCAATACACGTTGACTTGGATGCCATTGCGAGAACCTGGGTCACATGGACAGAGCTGAAATGGAAAACAAACAGAAAAGCCAACACCACAAGCATACCCACAGCACAATCTCACACATCAATGACGACCTGCACCTCCAGTTAAAGGCATCCTCTTGCAAAACAATCGCCACTTGCTAGAATGACTCTTGCAGAATGCAACGTGACCATGGCACCAACTCATGATACTCTACGCACATCCTCTCATCCACTCACCACCAATTATCACTGAAATCGCTTGTCACTCATTCTGCCTCAATTCTAGTAGCGGTGACGCATGCGAGCCTCAGTCGTTTACACTCTTTCTCCCCGGCGTGTGGGACCGCAGCTAACAATTATCTCCGTGTGCATTTCATTCTCAGCAATAGCCTAGCCTCCCCGGCGTATACGACCCATCTGCTGTCTCTAACATCAATCAATTCATTCACGGATGTAGAAGACTCGAAACAACTTCAGAAGTAATCACGACGAAAATTTTAACAAAATTATGCAATAAAAACAAGGTACGAAAACAACGAGTAAACACAATGAATCCAAAAACACCAATTGATATGACACACCACACGTATATACAAACAGTACACACAAACTCGCATTTCATGTCTTGATGGAATTCCTTTGAAGAATTGCAGGACTTACACCAGTACGCCTGCAACCCTTCACAGGTTGACGATTGTAAGTTGTGGAATGTCCGGACACAAACAAGATTAACCAACAATTACATCAATTGGAACTCACACAACTATTTAACACAAACATATGTACAATCAACACATCAAATGTTGTGGATTCTGCCTTGACGAACTACCCTTGAAGAACTGTAGGACTTACAGCAGTACGCCTACATTCCTTCTCAGGTTGATGATCCAAGTGGAAGTCGTCCGGACACAAACAGAATTACCAACAGCTAGATGACAAATGATATCAATTCAGTATATACAATATGAACATATGTACAAGATCATACACCAAGCACATTGGACTGCTCATTGATGCGCTACCCTTTGAAGAACTGTAGGACTTACACCAGTACGCCTACAACCCTTCTCAGGTTGACGCCCTAGGTTGGAAAATCGTCGCAGAGTTCATTTGCTAACTTCCTTCTATCAGCTATATCCTCAAATCTGAACGGCAACACGCCCATGTCATTGTATCGTAGAATATAGATGACTAACAAACACACGACATATCTCATCAACCAAGTATAGAAACAGAGTAATTTACACCAAAGATAATAACATTCAAATAGTAACTTGAAACTAGAAATGCCTTTATTCGTGCAAGTCAATTTAACAATAACTCTCTCCTTTACACTTGGCTTATCCACACTAAACTGACCATTGATATTCGTCCTTTCAAACGAACTGATACTACCATAGTCATTGCACAAGATACTTGAGTTGATGGGTGTCTGTTTCATTGTGGATGACAGCACCAACGATGACTGAGTGACACAAGGTGATGAACTTAGTGGTGGATCAGAAGCTGTTCTTGTTCGGATCTCAGATAGTTGTCCAACTGCAAGATTACCACCACTGCTGTCTTTCACTACTAGTTCGGGTTTAGCACTATCATCTGATGATAGGTGGGCTACACGCTGATCAATTACACTGACTGTCTCACAAGTATGCACACCTTTTGGAACTGCATCTGCGTTCAATTCTACTTCACGTTGTAGTTGTACAGAACCTTTATTTAACTTAGCAGTAGTAGGCATATCCCTCATCTCATAATGATCAACCAAAGACAACTGTGAAGTATCATGATCATTATCACGAATATTCACTTTACCGTCAACTTCATCATTTTCAAACTCTTTAATAACAGAAGTAGACAATTTTGGTTCCTCCTCACAAATCACCAAAGGTTTTATCCCTTCACTCTGACTAGTAATACCTTGTAAACTTGGGGGTCAGAACTGCACTCTGAAGCAGCAACTCTATTCTGTGACACTCTATTCAACAACGGCTTACCAGTTGCAACTACAGACTTCTTCACAACAACGTTATCGTCACACAATTCGGAGTCAGGCCTGGAGTTTACATTTAGCTTATCACTGAACTTGCTCACTGGTTCACAGTTCACCTCTGTATGCACCTCTTGCAAACGTGTAAAACACAACCGTGTTTGTCTTGCATCTTGTAACTTATCTGTTGAGGATGTACTACGAAACCTGTTACACTCACTAGGTCTATATGCATTACTAGACATCATGGAGCCTTCTCGATATCCACCTCTCTGAGGCCTATTCGTCATCAATGAGTGCGTTTTACCTTCAGACTGCTCTATTCTAGGGGTGAGATTCAATAGACTGGCAAACTTGCTCATAGATTGATTGACACTATCTTTTACCAGTTTCAGGATATCATCAAACTTTGGCTCGATACCCTCATCCTCCATACGGGAGCTTATCTTCACCCACTTCCTTTGCAGTCGAGTAGGTAGACGTCTTGCTATTACTTCTAGTATAAAACTCGAGTTGAGGTCACTCATTCGATTCATCGAAATCATTCCATTCTTGTAAATTAGCAAATTATCCAAAAACTCAGTGAGTGCCTGGGAGTCATCCTGTAATTGACCACCATTACCCTTAACAGCCTCGAATAATTTCCCTGCAATCATCGAAGGTCTTCCAAACCTTTGACGTAATATGCTCATAGCCTCGTAGTAGCCCTCTTTTGGCTTCATAAACTTACAACACTGTATAGCTCTTGCAGCATCTCCAGTGCAATATCTCATCAAATACATTAACTTCAATTCATCATTTAATAAAAAACCACTCAACATGATCTCAAACTCCTTTACAAATTGTAAATAATCGGCCGGGTTTCCATCAAAACACCGTGGTTCAAATTTAGGGAGTTTGATGTTCCTATTATCCCTGAACGGCGAAACAGTAACATCAACCATGTCATGCTTAACATCAGACACATCGTTACAATTAACAGACAAGTCACCATGACTTACTTTCCTGTTTGCATCCAAGACACTCTGTCCCTTCTTTGACCCAGGCATTGTTGAACTTGACCCAATTCCAAAAACGTTCCAGATATTGCTTGTTCAAAGAGGACTTGACCGGCACCAGGAAAGATGAACGGTGACTATCCAAACTTTCACCAACTGTTTGAATCCGCCAGAATCTCTTTCGTCCGTCAGAAACTGTCAGTCACGTCTCATAAACCGTTAATGCCCAGCTCTTGCTACGCTCGGGCCCACGCTGTTCCTTGCAGTTTCTCAGAAACGCTTAGAAATAACGGACGCAAAACCAAAACACCGATCTGCTGCTTGTTATTTCTTTATTGTAACACCAACATATTAAAAACGTGTTTACTAAGGTCTATGAACAAATATTACAAAAATAAATCACAATATTACTTCTGAAAGTTTTGGTCTGACTTCTTTCTGAACAGCGACCGATGAGACGATGACTGGTGTATTGATGCCTCCGCGAAAAATATAGGGAAGTTGGTTTTGAGCAAACAACAATGAATTGATCGTTCAATCTTCAACTACATTTACAGTATACTTCAGATAAACATATATTACTAGGCTCTCGCCTTTTTTACATAGCTCGCGCACATAGACTTTTGTGTTTTTTTGTTCCTTATAAACCTCGTAAGTTGGTGAAATTATCTCCTGTGTTTTACTTTACACTAATTGTTCACAGAAAAGACTGTAATATATCGGGAAAAACATATTTCTTGAAAAAATACTATAAAAATTGATGACCCCCGTTCCTGTTATATATTTTGCATTATTAACACCTTTTATATATATATACTTCTGCACCTGTCTGCCGGTTTTCTTGTGTCTTCTTCTCTTTTCAAAGATACTGCTTTCAACGAAAGTACTGATACAGCCCTGCAATCCTGTACTTATTCGCGATATTGCTAGCTCATCTGGTAAATAACGGGGACCTCGGTATTATCAAATCCGCTGACAAGTTCAAAGTGGGTCTCATAAACAACCGGAAATGTCACAAATATGATGTACTTACAGGTGAATATAAAATTTAATAGACTTTAAAACTCTTTCTGAATGATTTACTGATAATTATTGTTTATTCTGCATCTCTTATGTACCACGTCAGCATCTATACAGAAATGCTACTTACCTTCCCAACTAACGCAATCATTTATGATTCCCGCGTGAAATTGACATGTATTTTTTTCAATCACAGTTTAGATTTGACGCTATATCTATTTCCTTATTTGTACACTTCATTTTAAATGTTTCTCTCACATTTACCAGTATTCAACTTATTTCTAAATTAACAAATCATATTATATGTTCTATAAGTTTTCATAAGTGTACATATGTTCATGCCTGTAAAAATGGCTGGTTTCTGTTACAGAAATAAAAAATTATTACTATTAATACCATTATTGTGTTTCAATTTCTTCACCCTATAAACGATAGCTTACAG